CCGCCGAGACAACATTGCCGGCATTCACCATAAACACACACCAGGTTCAGTTTGGTCTTAATTATTGCCACATTAAAGTTTAGTTGTACTTTTCTTAGTTTGTGCTTAAACTAACAAAAAACATTAGCTTTGCTGTTATGTTGGTGTTGCTAATTTCCACTCTGTTCTTATCAAATTTGTGTTTGAAATGAATTTCGTTTTGTGAGGAGAACTGTTGAGGAAAAATAACAGAACCCAATTTTAAGTTCATCATGGTGAAGTTGGACATTCTGGCGGTGATTGTAAAAATGATAAATGCATGTTGATGTCATATAGTAATGTCTTGAATAAAATATGTCTATTTACGATGTTTCGCTTTCTTTTTGGCATTAGCTCCTGTGTAGACATTTCATGATGGTAAGTTTAATTTCCTTGATTATAACAATTGTAGCGTTGTTTTTAAACTTGTAGTCAAGCTATAACGTAGGCTATTTGATATTTATCATACATGACTAAAATCATGCAGGGATTAAAAACGAATTCTGAGCAAAAACGTTAAGTTTTTTTTTTTCCCTTTCTGGTAGCCTAGTTCGGAGGTCTCTTTTGGCCCGTTTTTAACTAAATAAAAATAACTGCTTTATTTATTTAGAAGCAGGGTAATTTAAATTTCATTTTTGTATTGTAATTTTTATTTTCTGAATCAAAATACAACGGCCACAAAATAATATTAAGTGTTGGGCTGCCGAAACGTGTTGAGTGGCGAGCTGAGATATAGAACTAGAATGTTTTCAACCGTTTGCACAAATTAATTAAGAATTTATAGTGCTATATCTCAGTTTAATTAAACATAATTATATTGTATACACGGTATAAAAAATCTGTAAAAATATTGCACTGAAATGTGCGCTGATAGTGCTTATTTTAATTATACCCATCATGTTTGTGGTTTTTCATCATTATGCAGTCTGTTTAAATAAATATTCAGAAACACATGCAGTGCTACTTTTAGTATTTTTTCTGTTTAACTTTTATTAAACAGATCAAAATAGAATAGGCCTATACCCTAAATAAGGATAAATTATATTGGAATGCACAGATGCACGTTGCCATTACAGTAGTCAGCGCCGAACAACAGACAAATAAAATATAAAATGAGGTTACAAAAGTGATACAGTCAAGATCAGTGAGGGATTTTCTTTTCTTTCGTTCTTTAAATTAACATTAATGACTGGCGGCAGCGGCTTCTGTCAATGCACGGGATCCAATTCACTCTTGTTTTCTTTCTCAGCTCTTTACGTTCACTTAAGACATAACCGATTGTATTTAAAGGATATTTTGATATAATTCTGTGTTTATTTGTCCATTCGAATGTGTAAGAATGCGAGAAAGAGAGCTCAGTCCAGTGTTCGCGTATATAAGAGGCGGCTTTTGTGCGTGCGTTTTGTGTGTGTGAGTGTGTGCAGCACAGAAAACAGCGCGCGAGTGCAGAAGTGAGTTTTATTTTGTCGTCTTAGTTGAATCTTTTGAAATCACAATAAAAGCGCATACAGAAATCGAGACAGAATCGAAATGTAATTTGATTCCTGACCTTATGCATCTGATCCGATTTCCGAAATTGGAATAGCTTTTCGATAACCAACCCTCCTACTAAACTGTTTCATTCTTGCATGCAAAAAGACCTGTATGGTGACTATGGGGCTATGTAAATTATTGTTTACAACTTACTAGGTTTATCATTTGTCATTTTTTTCCGATAATGTCGCTAATCATCTGTTACCTGACTGTTGACATCGACATCGCAATACTTACGAGACATCGTCGATATACGATAATATCGTCATATCGCCCAGCCCTATGCACAACACATAATGCTTCCCAGCTGCATTCATGTAGATTTCGCATTGAAACCGAACCATTCTCTTTCTTTAAAAACACTAACCTGGCTCCATTCTGTCCATACTGTCCTCCGCCGGGCTGCTCCTGTCTTCCTGCGGGGAGCCCTGAGTGTCCAGAGGAAAATGGTCAGACACTGACCTCAGACTTCCTCTTCCTCCTTCAGAGTCTTCGGTTTCATCCTCGTCATCCACAGTGGGAACATCTTCACATTTTGTTTCAGTATCACCTAAAGAAGCAGAGGAGAACAGGGATAAATGCAACTGGGTTTAGTTAATTTATCCAGATGATGTTGAACTTGAAATTCAGATTTTTTTGTTGTTGCTTCAAACACCTTTCACATGTCAGCAGTCAGTAACTATGAATTAAATGTATAACTGAAGCGCGGCAGAATTAAATTTGATGTAGTGTACTTAAATCTGACAAGCCTTTGTGAAATATGAAAATATTACATACAATTTTGCAGCAACATAAAACATGTATGCATGCTACAATGCATGTATACCACAACACATGCATCCTATGGGCAAATATAAGCATACAATATGCAATTAAACATATATTACAAAGAATGTATACTACATGTAAATATGTACACAATACATTAATGCTATATGCATCTATATACATACTGCAATGAGTGCATCCTTTATAGAAGTATATGCATCTATATATTTTATAATGAATGTAATTTATTAAATGTATGCATACGTCAATAAATGCATACTACAAGCATGCATGTAATGCATGCATATCACATGCATACTATATGCAACTACATACAGTGGTGTGAAAAAGTGTTGGCCCCCTTCCTGATCTCTTATTTTTTTGCATGTTTGTCACACTTTAATGTTTCAGATCATCAAACAAATTTAAATATTAGTCAAAGATAACACAAGTAAACACAACATGGAGTTTTTAAATGAAAGTTTTTATTATTAAGGGAAAACTAAATCCAAAACTACATGGCCCTGTGTGAAGAAGTGTTTGCCCCCCTGTTAAAACCTGAGTTCAATTTCTCTAGCCACGAAGCGTGACAAACATGCAAAAAAATAAGAAATCAGGAAGAGGGCCAACACTTTTTCACACCACTGTATATACTACAAAGAAAGCATTCAAACTATACACATGCATACTTTACACAACTGCATTCATCTATATACAACACATGCAGACTATACGCTATATGCAAACATATAAGACAATGCATGCATATTATATGCAACCACATGCATACTATAATCAACTAGACACATACTAAAAAGATAACGTATACCACGATACATGAATACTATATGCATCTATATACATATTGCAAAGCATGGCATGCATACTATATACATGCTACAGTGCATGCATACTTTAAACAACTATATACTATAATGCATGCATACTATTCACTATATGCATACGGCAATGCATGCAAACAAATGTAAGATACAATGCATGCATATTACAGTCCATGTCTACAATACTCTAGGTTATATGATTAAGTAGTACCTTTAAACTCAGCAGAGTTGAGCTCGACTCCTGAAATCCACTCATAGTCATACATGCGCTTGCTGGCGGACGGCAGCATGCTGAAGATGTCCGTGTCAGCGTCGGTGTCGGTGTCCGCGGCTCCGCTGTCCGTCCACAGGCTCAGAGACGCGTGCGGCTGCGCTTCGGACCCAAAGGCCTGGTTGCTGTGGTCGCTCTCCACTTCAGCAGCACCCCGCTGGTTCTTATCTTTCATCAGATAGTCGCAGATCGCGTTGATGTTCTCCTTCTTCACCACGGGCGTCCCGGGTTTGGCTTTCTTCGGGTCGGCGCCGTGTTTCTGGCCTGGTTGGTGCTCTGCTTTCCTGAAGTCCAGGCTGCTGGAGTTAGACCCCCTCCCGTCTTTCTCCGTGGGCTCCAGCTTGGCTTTGAGCAGCTCGATCTCGTCGGTTTTCTCGCGGAGCTCCATCTTCAGGACTCTGATCCGGACGCTGACCAGCTTGCGTATCTCGGACAGCGCGGACTCCAGCACCACCGTGATGTTCCTGCCCAGGTGCTCCGTGATCTCAGTCACCGAGCACACCAGCTGCTCGTCGGGCTCGAGCTCGGACCAATCCTCCTCGTCTCGGCTGAAGGACCCCGCGTTGTCCATAAAGGCGGCCTGGGACTCCGAGGACGGCCCTGTTTCCATATAGCAGTGGTTTCTCTTTCGGTTCATGCTGAAGAGCGCAGATGGGACAGTGTTTTGATCGCAATGGACACAGCAGAGACACCATAGAACACCAGACGAACTTCCTCCCACTTCGGAAGTTGACAAAATAAACAGCGCCCCCTACAGAGCCATCCTGTAGCTGCTACAGACATACATACAGTAGATAGATAGATAGATAGATAGATAGATAGATAAGAAATAGAAATAGAAATAGGTTGTCTATTAGCCTACTGTGTTCGGTGGACAATATGTGGACCACCCTGGACCACGAAACCAGTCATAAGTCACACGGGTATATTTGTAGCAATAGCCAACAGTAGATTGTAATGGTCAAAATGTTTAATTTATGCCAAAATTAATTTGAATACTTTATACTAAATAAACTATAAACTACATAATTTATCATTACACTTCATATATTTGTCTTCAAAGACTGCTAGCTGTGCTGTTAAAAATAGTTTGACCGGCACAACATAGTATATCAAAGCTAGCAGCCTATAGAAAATTAGAAAGGTCTGTTTAAGCAGGCTGGAAAGAAAAGAATGAGAAGAATTTTTCAAGCAGGAGAAATTCTGTCTTGTATAATGGCTACTAGATGTCGCTCTTTATACGTGTTTTAGACTACATCTCACTTGTTATTGGTTTGCTTCGTTTTACTCTGTAGTTGGTTCTTTTCCCAATTTTCAGCTGTTCTTTGATGTGAACGTTTCAGCAAATATTTTTGCATGCATGCAAATATGTATATATGTAATTTGCCATGCTCTTGCTCTTTCTCCTAAAAGTTCCTCTTTGAAGTATAAAATTACCTCATGGACAAAAAATAGTTAAAAATAGTTACAGTATAAACACACAGTGAGCCCCACACTTAGAACAAAACAGATGACTCAAAAAAAAAATGTAATGCATTTTTAATAATAATTAATTCATTTGTGTCTTTTAAAACTTAATGTATTTAACATAAGACTAGATGTGTTTGTTTTTCCAAAATTACAGTACAAGACAGCCTTGAAAAAAACAGAACACTCCATGAAAAGGAATTTATGACTTGATGGACTAAATTCCACTATAACTACTGAAACCAGTTGCTTTTACCTCCCACAACAATTTCCCAGCTAGTTACACTGATATTCTGATGTGCACTATGATCCCAATCTAACACTGAACACAGAGTTTTTCTTTTTATCATTATCATTAAATAAAGAATGGTCTAAAGTTACATTTAAACGAATAACCCTTTCAATCTTTTCAAAAGATTTTCCACATACACAATTTGGCTCCATATCAGTCTTTGAAAATGTCCAGCAAGCAGCTTCCTTCAGACAAACGTTGCTTTATATTGCACTGTGTCGCTCTCGTTGACTTCCAGCACCCCGCTGAGGGGACGGGGCGCTTCTGTGGAGGGGTAAATGTCATTTCTCATTTTGTTCTGGCACTGGCGAAGCTCAGCTGCGTAACCCTCGAAGCTGTCCTCCAGAGTGACCCTCTTGTCCAGCACTTGAGCTGCTGAAGAGGGATGGTTGTTGACAGCTGAAGTGCATGCGTTTCCTTCTTCTGTACCTGGAGAAAAGTTTGCAAACAAGTCAGTACAGCACATATAAAGGAAAATACAGATGTGTGGGAACATGTGGGAATTGGGAGCCAGAATCAGATTTGGTTGATTGGGAAATGAAAGTCAAGTTTAAGGTGCATTTTAAACTGCAAATTACTTCTTGATTTATTGACATGATTATCACATCCTTGTTTAAGTCTGAACATGGAAATGCTTTAGAATACTGGATAAATATTTTAGGCGATTAACACATTGATGATGAAGTTCAGATTGATTATGAGACAGCATGTTGTAGGCCATTATTTTGAATAATATAACACTAATGAATAGTGAAAATGTTCAATCATTCACTGTTTATTGTTACTCTGACTGTGAGAAACGTTACTTTGATAATGACTATCCAACCACAAGGTAGCAGTATGTCCTCATTTGTCATTTTTTTTTACTATTATTATTTATGTGTCTAAATCTACTCCCTAGTATTGCAGCAACCGGTTTACTGTAAAAATTAATACAACAAATCTACAGAGGAATCAGAATTAGGTGTAAGTAGAACGCTTCTAGTCCATGATCACAACTGTTAACAGACAATGGAGATGCAAGAGCTTTCTTCATGTTCATGCTGTGATAGGTTACTGATGCATTTCATGCAGTCATCTTAATTTAAAAGTTCCAGTAGGTTGGAAAAACCATGCTTTGCGGTTTCTGACTGGTTTCAGGTCTGCAGACATCTGGAACAACAAGTTCCCGTATGTTTCTCAAATGCAATCAAGGCAATCATGAATGAAAAAAGTTCAGATGCAGAAAAGTAAGGAAAGGAGCATAAAGACACATGATAACACCAGGAAAGTGAAGGGATGACAAACAAGATCACAAGCAAGTCTAGACTGATTTTGCTAACATTTATTAGATCTAATCAGATTGACACAGAATCAACATGATCACTACAAAGGAAACAGGATGGCAAGCAAATCAACAATGCGACTGTTTGAGAGCATAGCGTATAGCTTGCATCTTAAGGCGTTTACAAAGAGTATTGTGAAATACTGTAAGAGTATTCCTGCCAGAACATCTCTGATTAAAGTCTCACATTCAGCATTGTTGAATCGCACTTTAGGCAATGATTGTATCCTTGTTTGTATCAAAAGGAAATGTCAAAAATGAACAAAAAAGTAATATGAGAGATTTGTAAATGATTATTTACAGCACAGTCTTGATACACCTATGTGAACACTTTCAGATTACAACATGATCTACAGGGTGTCTTATTTTCATAAGGATGTGTCAAAACAAGACACATAATAAAAATGCCTTATTAATTTTAAGTTTTCACACATTACATAGTCTACAGTACAGAGAAACTGGCTATGATCCAAATGTAATAATGTCATGTAACAATGTTTATAAGTGCATAATCCATATTGTTTCACATACTTTAATTAAACATCAGGCAGTTTATAGTACATACTTTTGCATATGTAGTTTGTAGTACATATGCAGTAAACTAGCATTCCATTTCAAGCACAGCTACACCATCGTTCACAAATTTTGCGTCGGTATGATTTAAAAAAATAATTATTTAGCAAGGAAACTATAAATTGATCAAATGTGACAATAAAATGTATATATAATGTTACAAAACATTTCTATTTCAAATAAATGCTCTTCTTTTAAAAGTTCTATTCAACAAAGAATCCTGAATAAGCATCACGCTTTCCACAAAATATTAAGCAATACAACTGTTTTCAACATTATAATAATAATAAGAAAGTTATTTTTAATTGTGATAATACTTCACAGTATTACTGTTTTCACAAAAAAAAATTCTTTAACTTTTTTATTTTAATTTTTTTTTACTGTTTTTAATAAATAAATGTAGCCTTGTGAGCATAAGAAACGTCTTTTAAAAACATAAATCTTACCGACCCCAAACTTTTGAACGGTAATATGTGTATAAATATGATGAAGTTGACATTAGTGAGATCAATACTATCAAGTGTATGTCAAGTGAATTTGGGATGTGTGTTTTTATTATTACATGAATCCATTCAAACATGACACCCACCACACGCACACACACACAGCCACACTCACGGCTAGTCAGGCGGGAGAAATACCTGGGCTGGGATGCCTGTGTAAGCATAGCGGAGGAGTGAAGTTGGCCTCAGGTAGGCTGCCCTCATAAAGGGGCGGAGAGATCGGCGGAGGCGGAAGCAGAGTGGAGTTAGGGCTGCTGATGTCACCCTCCCCCACAAGAGTCAGGTCGCCCAGCCCTTCCTCGTCCTGACCCTGCGGACCAGAGGAGTGTAGGATGGGGGAGAGTGGGGCGGTGAAAGGAGGCGAGTCAGGGCTGGGTGCACGGGGGTGTCCGTTTGAGGAGCTGGGTTTAGGAGACTGGGGGGTTGTGGTGGTGTGGCCGGGTTTATGAGAGGTGGGGGTTGAGCAGGCAGGGGGTTGGGGTTCGGGATCAGGGTTCAGACGGAGAAAGTCAGGAAGCACAAGGTCTTCTTTTCTCAGCAAGCCTCTCTGGTCGTCAACACGACTGCTCTGAGCACGACTCAACAACTCGAAAAATTCTAGAAAAAAAGAGTATTTAAACAATAAGTAGAGTATATAAAATGTACTTATTAACAAAACCTAAATCTATAAAAACAGTTTATGTTAAAAAAGAACATAAAATAAAATAATATTAAATAAAACATAAATTTTATATTACATATTATATGCTTATAATATATATAACGTTTAAGTACTAAATTACTACTAAAAGTGAAATGAAAATAAATTATAGCTAAATAGAAATGTTTAAAAATTAAAAACAAAAACACAAATGTATTACATTAAAATTTGAATTTAAAAAAGAAAATATGAATAAATACTATAATACTTTATAAATAATACTGAAATAACACTGGCAATTTTCAAACCATTTAAGCTAAAAATTGAGACAAACTTTCTTAATCTACTAGGTTTTAACAGGTTTTAAGTGTGGATTAAGTCCTCAAACACTTTTTGACAAAAACAGTGGACAAGAAAACACTGAGAAGTCAGAGAAAAGTAGATAATATGTACCCTCTGCTTCATCTATATGATTCTTTTTCCCTTTCTTCCTCTCTGACGCAGCTGACCGGGGATGCTTGTCTTCACCATCTCCTTTCGACGGTTGTCCTGCCAAGCTTTCATCTCTCTAGCAATGCAGCAAAGACAGATATGATGAGCTATGATGAATGAATCCTGGGCTGAATGTCTTATAGACTGACATGTTCATGAAGGTTTTATTCCCTTTATAAAATAGGAATCATGTCTGAACAGTGTACAAAGCCATTTCTAATGCACACTGATATTTCAAAATGTAACACAAACATAAGTCATGCATGTAACCACAACTTCATGCTCACCACATCCATGCATGCTTAGAGTTAGTAACATAAAGAGAATCTTATTTTTTAACTTAAGATGCATTTAGTTTTTGCATGATGACTGCAGTTTAAGAATATTGGATATTTATATTAAAATATATATTTTAGATTTGGATATCTCGTATAACCCCACTTCTTAAGAAACCCACTCTTAACCCAACTCTTTTGGAGAACTACAGACCGGTTTCCCTTCTCCCTTTCATTGCAAAAACACTTGAACGAGTTGTGTTCAACCAAGTCTCTGCCTTTCTCACACAGAACAACCTCCTGGACAGCAACCAATCTGGCTTCAGAAGTGGACATTCAACCGAGACTGCCTTGCTCTCAGTTGTTGAAGCCCTAAGACTGGCAAGAGCGACTTCCAAATCTTCTATACTTATTTAGCTGGATCTGTCTGCTGCTTTTGATACAGTGAACCACCAGATTCTCCTGTAAACCCTATTGGAAAACGGCATCTCAGGAACTGCACGCCAGTGGTTTGAGTCTTACCTCTCAGATAGGTCCTTCAAGGTATCTTGGAGAGGTGAGGTGTCCAAGTCACAACATCTAGCTACTGGGGTGCCTCAGGGCTCAGTTCTTGGACCACTTCTCTTCTCTGTCTACATGGCATCACTAGGTTCTGTCATTCAGAAACATGGCTTTTCATATCATTGCTATGCTGATGACACTCAACTCTACCTCTCATTCCATCCTGATGATCCGACGATAGCTGCTCGCATCTCAGCATGTCTAACAGACATTTCTTGTTGGATGATGGACCATCACCTTCAACTCAACCTGGCTAAGACAGAACTGCTTGTGGTTTCAACAAACCCATCACTTTATCACCATCCAGTTAGGCTCATCTATCATAACTCCTTCAAAAACAGCTAGACACCTTGGAGTTGTGATTGATGATAAGCTGAATTTCTCAGACCACATTGTTAAAACTGCCCGGTCCTGCAGATTTTCTTTATACAACATTAAGAAGATCAGGCCCTTTCTTTCAGAACATGCTTCACAACTCCTTGTT